CATCTCAAGCAAGTGAAATAGATGCTATCTTGTGGCTTTACGGAGATCAACATCACCTCCGCATTTTAGAAATTGCGCTCAGAAAAGTTTCAAAAGGTTTTTATAGCTCAAAGCTTTGACAAAAGAAAACTCTGCAGGAATGACACCAAAAACGTGTTCGAGAAAATCCTGCTAGGATCAGAAAGTTTTTCTGCTCTATTCGGTTTGAGCGAGTGATGGAGCACGAAATCCGCCTTCTTCTACGATGACTTTGGTTCGCGAGGTGGTTACTGTTGAAACCTTCATGCCTGCAAACACTAATTTCGGAGCCTTTGGTAAGCATTTTTTACAGCTGTAATTTAATTCTGCTGCCAAATTCCATTTGTCGCAGTCGTTGGTGCTTTTCTTGGTTGGATTGTCCCATAAACCTAGAGGAGATTCGAAGAAAGTCGAACTCTTTACATTGAGCACACAGAGAAATCACATCCAATCGATGTTGTCTATCGTACAATCGTTTTCATACTCCTCCAGTCCTCGAGTCAGAAATTCCATCGTAGATCAAAAATATTGAAGGATTTCGGTGCGCGCCCCCAAAACCACCTCGAACGCTTTTTTCATTATAATCAATCAGAGAAGACTTTTCGCCTGACCTTTGAGAAAAAGTTGTAGAGCATTTGAAATGGTTCACATGCACAGAAGCACCATCCCTATGGCTTTAGGCCGCGTTCATACCGTGCGACGTCGACGTCAACGTCGACGAAAGCTGCGTAAGCTGCGTAAGTTGCGTAAGCTGCGACTGGTTCGTGAATAATACATACGTATCGATCCAACGAAAGCTGCGTAAGCGTAAGTTGCGTAAGTTGCGTAAGCTGCGTAAGTTGCGTAACCGACGACAGCTAACCGATCGATACGTATCTATTCTTCTCGAAGTTGTCGTCGGTTACGCAACTTACGCAGCTTTCTTTGGATCGATACGTATGTGTTCTTCAGTCGCAACTTACGCAGCTTACGCAACTTACGCAACTTACGCAAAGGACGTCGCACGGTTAGGCAGAAGCCGTCATCCCCTGACTCGCGGTCATCGCAGTCCCGCGATTATTCCGGCACTAAATGCAGTCCCGCACTAAATCTCAGTCCACCACAGAAGATTGAGGGAAAGATTAATGACGCACCAGCGAAGTCCAAAACTCGGAACGTTCTTTTGCGAAATTGCGACGCATTCGACGTGTTATTGCACCAGATGGCCTTCGACTGTAGTCAAAACATGTTTGCGAATTTCTGTACCTTTTCCTAATTTCGGCGAGAAATGATCCATGGCAGAAGCTTTGATTAACATGCTTCGTGGAGCGTCCACCTGAGGACGTTAAATCAGGACCGCAAGTTTGGTTTGGAAAGGTTTCCATTTCATACGGGTTTTCAAATTTCCTTGCTTGCTCCAATATGAAATAGGGACATAAAATTGAATACGATGAAACTGTAAATGATCACAGACCTGACTTTCCTCAGACAGCAAAACTAAAGACGAACTAAATGAATGGGATTTATGAGGCCGGCGTTCAGTAGCTTGGGCGAACCATGAAGAAATGCAGAAATGCGGAAAATGCAGAAGTGCGGAAAGTGCAGACGTGCGGAATCTGCAGAAAAGTAAAAGATACGTATCGATTTGAAGAAATGCAGAAATGCCGACACTGCAGACGTGCCGAAAGTGCAGACGTGCCGAAAAGCATTACATACGTATCGATTTGAAGAAATGCAGAAATGCCGAAAGTGAAGAAGTGCGGAATCTGCAGAAATGCCGAAAGTGAAGAAGTGCGGAATCTGCAGAAATGCCGAAAGTGAAGAAGTGCGGAATCTGCAGAAATGCCGACAGTGCGGAATGTGCAGAAAAGCAACCGATACGTATCGATTTTCCACACTTTCGGCATTTCTGCAGATTCGGCACTTCTTCAACTTTCGCGCCATTTCTAGCATTTCTTCAAATCGATACGTATGTGATGCTTTTCGGCACGTCTGCACTTTCGGCACGTCTGCAGTGTCGGCATTTCTGCATTTCTTCAAATCGATACGTATCTTTTACTTTTCTGCAGATTCCGCACGTCTGCACTTTCCGCACTTCTGCATTTTCCGCATTTCTGCATTTCTTCATGGTCGCAAGCTATGAACGCGGCCTAACGCACAACCCTTTCATTTGAGTGTCCGGCTCCGATCTACATTTTCCATACCGGAGACGGTATGTTTCTGTTTTGATTTTAAAACGTCCCATTTGGTTCCCCCATATTGATGTTGGATGTGGTTTTCATGCAAAATAAGATAAAAGGAGAAAATCAGAATTTAAGGTGACCTTCGTTGACGTGTTCTTCGTGCTGTGATTGTTCTGTTTTTCAAGAGCTTTACATATTTTTTACAGCCTTCTTATGTGTATTTACAGCTTTCGAAATGTAACATGAGCTTTTCATAGGTTTCCGGAATGGAGTGGATCGTAACCGAGAGAGATGCGAAAGCGTTATCGAGGCCGGTCACGCACACCCAGCTTGGAAGAGAAAAATGGAGTTCTGGCGGAAAAATTCAGCCGAACGAAGATCTTGACCGTTGATGATTAACTCAGTTAAGCTGATCTCTCTTGCTACTTTGTATTCTTTTTCTTACTCGTTTGTTTCTACACTTTTACATTTACTCATTTTATCGCCTCAGTTTTACGCTTGTGATGCCACACAGTGCTACGTTAACACTATGAACTTTCAAAAACTGCTACTAACTCCGCTACATTACACTATGACTTCAAACTGACCTAAACTGACTATCTGCTGCCTATCGCTACTTGTTAAACCCATGCACACCCCAATATCGTTAATGAGAACCACGGTGTTACTGTTCGCATCCGCCTATTACTTCACGAGCTCCCTCCTCAACATGCGCCTTATTAACTTAAATCATTACTTCTTAATATTCCCTGTTGGCTCACCATCAAGTGGTTTCCGTCCATCGCTTTGTCAACCTATGCAGTATGAATTCTCAGCGCGGTAGTAATCGCTGAGGCACGTTCTGAATTTCCGTTACACCACCCTTAACCAAACGGCCCACACTTCGGATACATATTGGGACTGGCCCATAAGTGAGGGTTTTTTGGGCACGGCAATTTTTAATATCGACAAGGCCTGACATTTCCTTTCCAGTGTCTATGCCAACATAACTTCGCACGCTCTGTTTCAACCTGTATAACCCTCTCCTCCCATATTTAGTTTCGCTGCTGACTGTTGGCTGTTCAGCGGATAAGTTTGCGGTGGGCAACCGTTCTCATCAGTTGTTGCCACAGGACGCAAAGCTGATATGACTGTATCACACTCGTTCGTATTATCGTTCTACACCACTTATAGTACCATGCCTTCAGTAAAGAAGGCACAGAAGCCGGCCCTTTAAAGTGCACACTATCAATTAGCTCAATATTGGCACGACGACACGACCGCCCAACAGTCTGCAGCGAACTACGAGTGTCACTGCGGTCAGATCGGGAAATTGTATCACTGTTCAAGGTCAAATGCCCGGTACGCATAGGCTTACCAACGGACAAACTTAGCGGATTATATTAGGTTGGCTAATAAGTAATGGCCGTTTTTTTTCAATTGAAAAATTTGTTCGAAAAGTGAAACGTTTTGCAAGCAAGTTATATATCATCTGATAGGAAACTTCTCGTAGTATAAGAATATCAAAAAAGCTTTGGTTGAGGATATAGTTTTTGTGAATTTTTTAGTCGTTGAAGTTGGAAGTGAAGTCGGCGAAAATTAGCATCTTCGACAACTGCCTCTATTTACGTCTACTCGAAGTGCTAAAATCGCTTAAGCTGCTCCATACATTCGGAAAAGGTTGAGGTAGAAGTCTCAGCAAGGGAATCTCAATAGCACGCTTTGGAACTAATTTTAAGAATTTCAAAGTTGGCAACCTTCACCTTGCCGATATTGGGCAGCTCACGTCTGTTCCACCTGAAATTTCATGCTAATAGTTGAATTAATTGAATTTGAAATTTGATATTTATAATACTACGAGAAGTTTGCTATTAACACGATATTAAGCTTGCTTGCAAAACTTTTCACTTTTGAAACAAATTTGCAGATGAAACACGTGCCATATACTTATAGTCCACTGCTAGTGGGCTGGCTAATAACTGCTAGTGGGCTGGCTAATAAGTAATGGCCGTTTTTTTCAATTGAAAAATTTGTTTCAAAAGTGAAAAGTTTTGCAAGCAAGCTTAACATCGTTTAATAGCAAACTTCTCGTAGTATTAGAATATCAAATTCAAATTCAATTAATTCAACTATTAGCATGAAATTTCTAAATAGAGGCAGTTGTCGAAGATGCTAATTTTCGCCGACTTCACTTCCAACTTCAAAATTCACAAAAACTATATCCTCAACCAAAGCTTTTTTGATATTCTTATACTACGAGAAGTTTCCTATCAGATGATATATAACTTGCTTGCAAAACGTCTGACTTTTCGAACAAATTTTTCAATTGAAAAAAACGGCCATTACTTATTAGCCAACCTAATAACAGTAGGTTATACGGACGTACCACTTCTTGGTGGGGTCACCCACCTTGTCAAGATCTGTAAGTTCCTGTAGCCCTGTAACCAGAATGGCTCATTTCGCCAACTCGCATATGATGGTTGTGGGGGGGGGGTATACAACAGCAGTTTACAGTCTTGACAATCTTACGACCGCTATTAGTTGACATGCAGCTGGCAAAGGGAAGCAAGAATTGGTCGCAACCCCCTCGCCGCCGTCGAACAGTGCCTGAAATCTTGAGATTCCTTAGAAGTCCGCGCAAGGTCAAAATGCATAGCCTCTAATGGCTGTCGGGCTCGCGATGGCATCGCTTCAGCTACCTAGAAAAGATGCTTCTTGCGCAGTATTCACCTTGTAGTAGACGCGTTCCTTGTCTAAACGATGAAATGCAGTCAGCACATCACTCATAACCCATCTGGTCCTTGCAATACAATTTCAATGCACTTTATGTAATCACAAAACATGAAAAGTTGTGTGAAACAGCAGAAAGTCATTCTTCACACTTTGAATCAATGGAATAATATTTCCTAGCATACTGTTTCAGCTTTCTACAGAAGAACTTAGCAGCGCTAACATTCCCGTCGATTCATGTTCTTCTCGGGAAAAGAAGATTGTTATAAGTGAGAGCTGTAGTGTTCTTTTTTTCTTGTAGCTGATAAAGTAGTTGTTTGCAGATGATAAGGCTTTCACAATACGTGGTTCTAAACCTCCAATTCAAATGTTCCACATACCAGCCGAAGTTATTCACTCTTCAGAAAAATCAAGGTTCAAAGGTATAGGTAAGTAGTGGTAGTAGTTAATTTATCTTTGTCTCTTTCATAAAATTTTCGATATTCCTTTTTTTACACTGAAAGGACTTGGCATTCCGCTATCATTTTCGTGTGGAATCGTTCACTTTATCAGCACATCTTAAAATTATTCAAAAGCAGTTGGAGAGCGAAGCGCTTCATCTTGGGTCCACATTGAAATTGTATTGGCTATGAATCTTGTCTACTTAAAGTCTACTTGAAGCCGTTCATGTTTTGCTTCGTTGTGGAAGAATCCGCGTTATGAGCGAAAACGATAGCATAGGTATTGATCGGCCGCGGTCACTAACCTTTTGTGGGGGTCGGCGATACGAGCCTCCCCCCCCCCTTGACGCCGAGTACCCTTGCTGTCCTTTTCGCTCAGAACGTCATTCTCCCAAACGCCAGGTTAACATCTATAGTTTCCGTTTCGTTTAAACCGCCGATTCGCCAGAGACGGTAATTTTCTTAACGCGCCGAGTCCAGAGTATGAACGCAGCCTAATAGTGTACCGTCTGAGGTGGTTCACTCTAGCATTGAAAAGAAAGTTGATACATCGTGTCTTCTGCTACCTTGTTAGTTGCAAGCCCATCCAGTTGGAGGGTAACAACGGTAATCTGCCGGTTGGGAGGTAACAACGGTAATCTGCTGTGATGGAGAGATTCTGGATTAGCATCCCCTTAGCTTAAAAACCACAGTGTTGAATCATTGAAAGCTTTGTACTAATTCCATGTCGACGTTTTCAGCATATGTACTGCATTAGAAAAGCCGAATGACTGAATAATCGTGATGCGTTAAAACTCTTCCCCGGAAGGAACGCGCAGAAAACCATCAGTTCTTACTAGTTCTTGCACCCTACGTTGGAATCTTTCCATTGCTTGGATTCATGTTACAGACAGTCCAATTTGCGGCACCGTTACGATAGGGAGAGCAGAGTTCGACAAATCGGCAGACCTTCAAAATGGAGGTATGTCGTTATTAATATGCTCAATTCCAGTAGTTTATTGTTCTGTTCATGAATTGCTTCCAGTACTTCTATTGGAATTCAGGTAGCGACCTTCTACTAGAATCGACCACTGATCTCCCCTTTAAAGTCATAAAGAAGAAAGTATCGCGGAAAGGAATCCAAAATCTGCGGCAGCGGCTCAAAGCGAATGGAGTGAAGTATACAGAGGAAAGCTCATCAACAAATGAGGCGATCGATGTATAGTTCGTTAAAGGTTGTTGTATTGTTATAGCTCTAATGATTTTACAAATCTGTTAGTGTTGTTGTTCCACTTGGGCGTAGGTCTGCTTTAAGTAGGGGAGAGAGGAGGTAGATTAGGCGAGCTTCTGTAAGCTTACCGGGCAGCTTTGTAAAAACATGAGAGCTCTTGCAAAGCTACGCAATTTATGATCAGATTCATTTTTTTGTCTCATTATCTCTTTGGCTTTTTCCTAGCTAGGATGATATCCTTAATGTATGGTATGCTCCTGTGAGGGTTATCCCACGGTAATTTCGAAATTCCTGGTGTAGTACATGAAATTAGCATCGACATAGGGTGATATTTCAATAAGGCGAGGCACATTGAGTAGTGCGAAGGAGCAATTGTTAACCAGTGGCTATGATTTCTTGCTTGTACCTGGCGTAAAAGAGCTTTAGGATGGTGAACCGATGGTGAACCGATTCCTGTGCGCAAAGTGTGCTTGCGCCCTATCAACTAGATAGGTAGAAGATTATCAGCAAGAACCATGCTTTTCGTCAAGCCTCCCAGTGGGTATATGCGCTCCACCTTCCTATTCGAAATTGATCAGTTTAGTTTCCTGCTTGAAATACGCTGGGAATCTTTTATGGGTTGTTTCAAACCCCGTGCGAGGAAGGAGCAGGAGAACAGTCTCTGGCGTGACCCCCCCCCCCGCGAACACGTTAGCACCGAAAATCTTTTATTGCAATCCTTTATGAAAAGTGATGTCCACTCCAATGGAATGGTATGTCCTTTCACACAAATCATCTTGGTGCATTTGGAAGTTTCCCTTAGGCCTCGGCAAATGTTCTCTTCACCGGCTCACAATCGTTCCTTGCCACCATTCCTCATCGACTGCCGTCCAACACTTTAAAAAAACGGGGGAATCGCGCGCAAATAAAAAATTCCATTTCGGATGTTCACAGAAATCCACGGGACCATACAAGGTGCCTGATGGCGAAACTTTACAAGATGTCCCTTTCTCCTAGCAGACCTGTGCTTGTTTGTGTTGTTATTCATTTTTGTTTCCTGTTGACGTTCTTTTTTTTCTATGATTGATGCGTGCAAAATGACAGATAAACAAGTTTCTCCATTCACTCTGTCCATGTCTTACCGCCATCGGTCGCAGTATTTATTATCATTGGAAGGTAGAAAAACTCAATAAGATCACTTATCCTTGTCCTTCTCTCATAGCTGTTGTAAGTTGACTTTCGGAACCTTTTAAGCATGTTTAAAAATCCCGAGATCTGTTTGATGCACGCCGTTGTTGTAGTTCATGAAGGTTTCATTAACTTCCCTTGATCACAGGCATGGCGACAGCAGTGTGTACTATCTCGAAAGGAGCTGGTAGTTCGACCACAAATAAGCCTATTCACTCAATACCATGCAAACTGCACTATGATGGGCCAGCTCCTGTTTCTGGGTAGGTTCCAATCGAACAGTTCTCTTTTTAGCAAAGCGAACAAATGGTTCTATCGTTTTTTTTTGCAGGTATTTCGTGACTGATGAAGGCAGTGACGGTAGAAAAACGGCCGCTTTTCGTGGTCATGGACTGGAAGGAGTGAACCTCGACGTGCCATCTGGCTATGAGCTATACGTCCTAAACAAGCGAGGTGAGGACTTGCCATATTTTCGTTACTAAAACGTTATAGCAAGTTTGTAATATTAGGAGTGAGATCTTGCCTAAGATTTCAGCAGTATTTTTTTGAAGCATTGCTAGTTTAGAATCACAGCAATGTGGTATATTGGTGACCTTCGCGCAGATTCGTAGTTGCCCATTCACTAACTGCACTATTTTTGGGAGCAGTCAGCTCCTACAAACTGTCACTATCTTCTTATCTTCTAATAAAAGTTAGCTCTCTTTTTGGGCCTACAACCATCTATACGTACCCTAATCTCTGTACTCAGCTGGTCCTAGCAAGTGGTCCTTTTAGCACGTTCGTGGTTTGGGAGTCAGAAAGGCTTCTGCAAAGGCCTACCAAGCTTTCTACCCCCAGGTAAACTGGTGCCGGATTCGTATTGGAGGAA